GCACTCGATCCCCTCATCCAGATCATTGATAAAGATATTGTTCTCCCAGGCCATGCCTTAGCAGGCAGCTCCTCAGCCCAAGAGGGACCTTTCATCTTGGGTTCCCTCTTCGCTTCTTCCACAGGCTCTGGGTATTGTTCCACATCCCATGTAAATGCCTTGCTCCTTCCAGATGCAGCCCCTGCCTGAAGGTCCCTGCTGATCTCCATCGCTCCCCTGTTGCTCTACTCTCTCCCGCAGTACCCAGGGCTGCAGTGGAGCCTGATGTCCCTGGGGAGGCCCTTCACTGGTGCCCTTCCTGCACAGTGCATGGACCAGGGCATTGGCAGGGTCATCCTAAGTGGCAGGTTACCCTTGGGTCCCTCTTGGCTGCTGGCAGTTGCATTAGAACATCTCTGCTCCTCCACTTCTCCCTCACCTCTGGTTGCTCTGTTGTTCACACCCATCCTTGCCCATTGCTGGGACCTTCTCCCTTTCTGTCTGCTCCTCTGATGGTTTCTTTGCCTCCTTAAATGTCTCTCCCTTTTTCTTCCCTTTTGTCAATGTGCACAGACCCTGCCCACCATGGCATGGGGATGGTATGATTCCCCAGGACCTTGCTGCAGCCACTCATCTCCCTCAGCCAGGGCAGCATGCTGGGAGCAAGGGGAGCTGGGACCACTGCACTGAGGGGCTACTTGGAGGGACTGTGCTCCCCTTGCAGAGACTTCCTCCTGAGGGTCTTCATTTCCCCCGTGTTCCCATACAAAGTAGGGCAGGCAGTGTCCTGGCAGGTTTGCTCACGGCAGCTCCTGGCCTTTGCACAGGAGTTCAGGGGAGGTGTGACAGCTCCTCCCAGCCCATGCTGGAGGACAGACACTGGGGCTACTCCCTCCATGCTCCCCTCTCAGTGGGAGGAAATCCCTTCTCAGCTGCACGGACTGAAGGCTGCTCTTTAATGTCAGGCTCTGGCCCCTGGCCAGGCGGGGTGGGTGGCATTTCTACCTCCTTGGTATGGCCATGAAGCCTGGTGAGGTGTTGCTGTGAGCAGGACCCCCCTATTGCACTGTGTCCCTGCACTGCTGTTGCACCGTAACAATTTTTGGCGAGTAGGGTGGGGTCTGTAGCAGGAGGGAGAAGCCCTCTGTTTCTCCAAGCAATGGCCCTGCATTGACAGGGAATGTCACCGTGGAGGATGTGGAGCATCCTCCACGGTGACTTTGTCAATGCAGGGCAGAGATTTTTTGGGTTAGTATTCACCAAAGGAGTTATTTTGGCAGCCAAAGCCTCCTGCTGTCTCTCTGGCAAAGGGGAGGGGAGGCACCAAACCTATTCTCTGCCTTCTTACTGTTGAAAGCGGCCATGCATAATTTATTCTACCCAGCTGCTGTCGTGGTATAACTTTAATGCACGCTGATTCGGTTACCAGCAGAGCTGGCAGGGACAGGGACAGTCTGTTAGGAGCTGGCTGCAGGTCCCTGAGCCCCTGAAGGTTAGAAAAGAGCAGGTCTGTGCTGTCCCCATCCCTCCCTCCTACTCACAACGGTTGCCATGTGGTCTGCAGCTCGCAGCCTTTCCTGAAGGGATAATCCATGGCTAAACCCTGTGAGTACCAGATGGAGTTCAGGCCTGTTTGTTCTCTGTGTTAATAATCCAGAATGTCATTAATTTCTCTTACGCATTGTGGCAGGGTTTTGTTGGTGGGGTTTTTTAAAAAAAAAAAAAAAAGAAGTGGTCAGATGGTGACGTGAACATGCTTTTCTGAGATCCCTACGGAGTTAGCCTGGTGCATATTTGATCATCCTGAGCTTACAAGACAGCTCTCAGAGTCCAAGATTTGAAAGCAGAGTTACTGTCTGAGCCAGCACAATGAACAAGAGAAAAGTTATTTTTCAGATGGGAAGGCTGCAGCCATCAGCTCTGCTTTGCAAATGTGAAACCCCGGAAAAGCCATTCCTTCCAGATGCTCACTGCTGAAATCCCGCTGCTATAAGCACCTGCTCAAAATTAAGCAAATGCTTTGCTTAAGCTCGAATTTAAGCATGTGTTTATGTGCTTTGCTGACCTGGGATCCACCACTGCACCCGACCTCCAAAGCTACCAGGAGGAAGCAGTAGTGAGTCAATAATGGTAGATGGGAAGGGAAGAGGCAGCTCCCTCCCCAGTTTAAAGGGATGAGGTGTGGGGTAGTGCAGGGAGAGAAGATCAGCTCTTTTACTCTTCATCTGACTGAGATTAGAGAGATGACGGGGTGAGGCCCGCTGTGGCTGGTGTGGAAGTCTGGGTCACTGGAGGGTTTTGCTTGTGTTTAGTGATGAAGGACTTGGAGGTGCTGGTTGATGAGAAGCTCAACATGACCCGGCAATGTGTGCTTGCAGCCCAGAAAGCCATCCTGGGCTGCATCAAAAGAAGCGTGGTCAGCAGGTCAAGGGAGGGGATTCTGCCCCTCTACTCTGCTCTTGTGAGGCCCCACCGCGCTTGGGCCCCCCAACACAAGGACATGGAGCTGTTGGAGATAGTCCAGAGGAGGGCCATGAAGATGATCCGAGGGCTGGAGCACCTCTCCTATGAAGACAGGCTGAGAGAGTTGGGGTTGTTGAGCCTGGAGAAGGCTCCAGAGAGACCTTACAGCAGCCTTCCCGTACTTAAAAGGGGCTTACAGGAAAGACTGGAAGGAACTCTTTATCAGGGTGTGTAGTGATAGGACAAGGGGTAACGGTTTTAAACTGGAAGAGGGTAGATTTAGACTAGATAATAGGAAGAAATTCTTTACTGTGAGGGTTGTGAGACACTGGAACAGGTTGCCCAGAGAAGTTGAGGATGCCCCCTCCCTGGAAGTGTTCAAAGCCAGGCTGGACGGGGCTTTGAGCAACCTGTTCTCGTGGAAGGTGTCCCTGCCCATGGCAGGGGGCCTGGAACTAGATGATCTTTAAGGGCCTTTCCAACCCAAACCATTCTATGAGAAGTTCAGAGGTGCAACAAATCAGGCTACTCCATGAGCCGCAAAGCTCAGTTTTGTCCACTGAGATCTCGAAAGTGGGAAGAAATCAATCCCTTTCCTTGTCGCTGTTAATTTGAAGTGTTGGAGATTAATAATTAATTATTTGGGTTAGGTCCTAAAAAATACTTGATAAAACAGACTGCTCTGCCTCAGCACTTTTCCTCAGCAGAGGCTGTATCCATTACTGTCTGCAGGGGGGATGCTACATGCCCCTCGATTTGGCAACTGGCTTGCCTGGCCTGGGCAGGGGGTGCAGCTGCAAAATCAGGCTCCCCTCTCCCCAGAATCAGTTTTTGCCTTGACCCACTGCTGCTCTGGGGTAAAACATGTGCACAAGCAAGGTGGTGATGGCCGGGAGAGGCAGTGGGCCAGGGTGAGTCAGAGCCGTCCCTCAGCCGGCGCCATCCATTCCCATTGCAGGTTCGGTGGAGAGCCTGTCTCACACGACCTCGTCCCCGCAGCCATCGCCAGCTGCCTCAACCCACGCCTCCCGCATCGCCGATCCCTCCTTCTCAGTCGACCACGCTGCTGCTGACGTGTCTGCCGCGGAGGAGACCCCCAGCGAGTCAGAATCGGTCTTCCTCCCCGACTACCTCTTCCTCTCCAACTGCGAGTCGGGCAAGCTTAGCCACAACAGGTAGGTCTGGGGTCTGCCAGATGCGTTGGGCTGGAGCCACCCTCTCCCTGCCCAGTGATGCCCTGGAAAACTGGGGCAAACTGGTCCTTGAGCTCTGTCACTCAGGGTAGGCTCCTGAGCACAACAGGGGACCATCAGCCTAATCCAATTTACAGGGGGCTTTTCACAGCACAGCTTAGCAGTCGAGTGTTGTAGTTGGTCCTGTCCCTTTCCAGGGTGGGTGGCTGGGGACCTCACTTACGGCCTCCCTCCAGACGCCCTTTCTGCCTGCTGCTGCCCAAGGTGCTCCACAAAGTGCCCCAGCTCAGGGGGGACCTTCCGCAGCCATAGGGAAGGGACAGATTTTTGTCCCAAACTGTGGGGCAGGTTGGTTTTTTGCTGTGCACTTGCTCAGTTGCAACCAGGAGAAAAGGAAACCGCAGGTCCTGACCTCTCTCTCTGTGCAGGTGTGACAGCTGGTCAAATTCGGACAGATCTCTGGAGCAAACCTCATCAGACGATGTTTTTGTCGACTCCTTGCAGTCCCAGCCCTCCTTGTACCTTGTGCAGCCGTCCAGCACTGGCACTGTGCACCAGGATGGGGCCCCACTGGCAAATCCCAACACCGTGTCCAGGAACATAGACATTAGCGGGCCACCCAGTGACTTTTCCTCCTCTTCTCCACTGCTGGGGACGCCGCTGACACCAACCTTTCAGATTGACAAGAGCCAAAACGCACTGCCCTACGGTGTAACCCAGCTGGATGTCCTGTCCAACACGCCCCCGCCGCGGCCGCCCAAGCCGACCCACTTCTCAGACAGGAGAGGGGATGAGGTGGGCGGCGGGGCCCTCCAGAATGGGCACGCAGGGATCTGCCGGGCTCAGGTCACTCTGGTGCCCAGGAGGATCTCCTTGTCCAGCTTAGACAACGTGAGGAACTGGAAAGGTGAGTGTATTTCTGAGAGCCAGTGAAGCAGGACTGGGGTGAGAGATGGAGCTGCCCACAAGCACAGAGTGGGTGCCCACCTCCAGCTGTGCCTCCCTGTCTTCCCCCCTGCGAAATCATACACCACCCAAAGCAACCTGAAATGCTTGTTTCAAATTAGTTAGGAAGCAGGATTCAGATCTGTCCCTCGCATTCAGCTCCTGCTCTGTAAAAGCCCCTCGGTGTGCGTACAGCAGCAGTGGGCAGCAATTTGGCTGTGATCTCTTCGAGGTGCCTCATGACTGCTAGTTTTCCATGCCCCCTCCCTCTCCAAAAAAGAAAGCAGTAGAAAAACAAAAATGAAAAGCCAGCTGAATCAGGCAATGCCAAACTCTGTTTATGCAGGTCAAAATGTGGGCTTGCACATGGGAAGTGCCTTTGTAGCTGTGCTGCTTTGCTACATGCAGTCCTTTCCATAACAGTGGCATGTCTGTTTGCAGCTTAGAGTAAAGAACGGGAAGCCAGGGAGACACTGGGGATAGGACGTAATCCCAGTTGAACCAGGGACTCTGTGTGTCCTTGAGCAAATCCCACTCTGTCCTTGCACTTCAGTCAGGGTAGCCTGAAAACCTGCTGCAGAGCGAGGCTCTGCTGCAAAGCAAGTTCTGCTCTGAGCTGACGTGACTTTTCCACTTGCTCTTGAAATACCATCATCACAAACAAAAATAACAGTCAATAACCCAGAACATCAAGGTGTCAAAAGCCAGCATACGCAGTATGAGAAAGTTTTATTTTGTGGAGTCACAGAACAGAAGGAGGCAGCTGGAATACCTGGCTGGAAATCACCAAGTATTTTGCAGGGATGTGTCATTTTTGATGAGGAAGAAAATGTAGGTTTTTAAGGACAAGCATCTTTTAGACTCCTGTAGTTTGAATGACCAACCGCTGTTTGGGGCTGTTAGATCTTGCTCTTAAAGCTCAAAAGCCACAGCAAGGAGACTTCTGTCCAGCCTGTTTATCAGTGTACAAACAATTCTTGGAAGGTTTCTGGAGAAACACCCATCAGTGGAATTGGTGTTCTTAATTATCAGTTACATTTGGTTGCTCCCTGAAAGGTGCTGCTCTTGCTTCTGCACGCGTGCCGCTCTAACGCTGCCAGTGCGCTTGAGATAGTTAATGTTCCTCCAACCCAATTTATGCCAAAATGTTTTTAAGAGGATTAAGTGGCCAAATGTCCTGTTCTGCTACCGTGCTGCAAGGTTATCTCTGCCTGACAGGGGGCAGCAATGAATTAATAAGTGCTGCTATTTTTTCTTACCATAAGGACAGCTGAAACTATTTGAAAGGTTAAACTCTGAATTAAAATGTGTTTAACAAGAAAGATTGGAAAAAGAAACAGGGAGAAAGCAGCTGTTCCTCAGTAGCTCCCAGAGTGAGCCCACTCAAGTTACTTACTTCATTTTTTGCCCTTGGCAACCTGTAAAAGCTGAATGGATGTAATTAACCCAGTGCAAAGGCAGTGTATGCTGCTTGCAGTACCGTGAAGGGGAACAAGCTGTACATGTGTAAGGCACCTGTATCCTGGCATCTGCCAGAGCATTGCGCCTGAATGTCTTTTTGCCAAAATACTAAATAAATATAGCTGTCCCAGGACAGTGACTGTGTCTATCTGAATATGTTTCCACGCAAACAGTATTGCTTTTTTCTTGTTTAGCACTTTTGCCTTTTATGCTGATACCACTACAAAGACCCCCAGTTGCAGTGCAGCATTGACAACTCCACCATAAGAGCAGGGACTGGATTAACATCATTGCATGGTTTTAAGGCATTCCCACAGAAAAGCCATTTTCTGCACAGAAAATCATTTTCCAGGAAAAGGGTGGTGGTTGTAAGCATCTCGCACTGCTGTTCTTCTATGCACTGAGTGCTGGATTTCAGGTTTTTTGCCTTTTGCTTCAAAAATAAAATGGACCTACACCAAGACAAAGGCCAGCCTGCACAAGGGGACGCTGTGGCTGGTGACCTTTTCTCTGGCTGTTTGTTCCCCATCAGCTTGAGCCACTTGCACCACATCAGCATTTCTGGGTGACAAAGAAAAGAATTTATCTCCTACCATTAAGTTCCCCCAGGCACCCTCTGTACAATAACACGTGCTTTCCTGGCACCTTACATACGAGGCTGCCAAATAATTTTCCAAACAATAATGGATTAATATTCCCTACAGTCCCTTTTCATCTGATTTCCCCAATTTGACAGATGGGAAGACAGAGCAGGACTAGAGCAGGAGCTGGGTTTAAATTTTGGCTTGGTTGCCTTCTCTCCACACCACACCAGTCTTTCTCCCCAACTGCTTGTGTTACAGGAAGCATAAGTTACAGCTGGATTGTACATGAACATGTTCCTGGTTCATCATACTTAAAATAGATGTAATTGCTCTTGAAATACTACTGAGTTGGTTATGGGCTTAAGTGTCATTGGATTTCCTCGTTTAGGATAAATACTAGGAGTTATGGAATCTTTATAAAGCTCTAATTTTAGAGCCATATGCTTTACTCCAGAATTATCTCCATAAGGTTGCGCTGCCTTATCACATTTTTAATAATTTTCTTTTCCTTGCAGCAGACATGGAAGGCAGTTCCTTAAGAAGTCGGGATAAGAGGCTTAGCTTGAATTTGGTAAGTACTCTGCTTGCATAAATTTAAAACACTGGCACATGACAAACTTCAGAAAGTGAATCATTTCACATCCTGATATTCAATCATTCCTCTCCTGTGTTCAGAGGAAGAATAAAAAAAATGGAAGAAGCACTTGGCTTTGGGCAACTTCTGTGTTGCTGCTTCGTGGCTGCAGGAAGCCTTTGAGAGAGGAGGGAGGGGGAGGCCACAACACTGAGCACCCTTTTTTTAAAGTAGGTGAAGCCAGGTCTGTTATGAAAAAGGGTACCAGTGTCTTCAAGAATTAAACTGTTGACCAAGAGCACCTCAGAAAACTGTTTATCTCTTGAAAAAAGGATCTAAAGAAGCCTATCACTTCATGATCCTGAGGGATATCTCCTCTTTAGGACATAGGAAAGTCTCTGCTCTCAAAGCACCTGTGATTCAGGGCTCTGTCGGTCCAAAGCTCCCTGACTCAGCCTTTGACAGACATGGTTATATGTAGTAGCACCATCACATGTCACATAGCCAGTCTTCTGCGGGGCGCTGGACACTGTCTTCTGTGTGGGAGATCCTTTGCTGCTTGTGTGTAAGTTCTGGTGGTGAGCAACTTCTATTTTTCTCCCCTTTGAAAGCTTGCAAGTTTTGTAATCAATCCCTCTCACCACTCAGCCAGCTCTAACCTGCATGAAATTAATTTCTAGTGTTTATTCTCAGCTATCAGAAGTATGTCTGTGTGCCTGCTCTCTCAGCTTCCACATTAGCAAAAATCTAGTTCATCAGATGTTCCCCTTCCAGATGTTTTTTTTCTATGAAGGAGCCTCCTTCATTTGATAGGCCAGAATTGCTGCTGGGAGAGTCAAGTGCAGCTTCACTGAAGTTGGAGGGTTTAACCTACTTAAGTGACCAATAAGTTTGGTCCTGGTTTCCAGGGGTGACTTGCGAAGCTCAGAAGTGCTCTCCAAAGCTGGAGAGTACGTCTGAACTCATGTGTTTGTCTTGTGCCTTTCCAGCTTGCCCCTCTCAGAAAGGTCACGTCAGGACTCTCCTGGCCTGGGGCTTGGCTCAGATCTGTTGCCAGCTCACAGCACCTCCTGGCTTGCAGGGGGTTAACTATTCATTTATCAACCTGTTTCTCTTTCTTTTCCTCCTTTGCTTCTGAAGCCCTGTCGGTTCTCCCCACTCTACTCAACTGCTTCGGACAGCACGGAGGACAGCTACGTACCCATGCGCCCCAGCACCTCTCCCTCTGCGCCCGGCTCCGACTGTTCACCTGACGGCTACATCCCCATGAGCCCTGGCTCAGCCACGTTTACCTTCCCTGTCGTCAGCACTGAAAAACTCACCAGCCCGTTACCTGAGCTTCCCTCAGACCTGGAGCCCCCTCCAGTGAACCGAGACCTCAAGCCTCGTAGGAAATGTAAGCCCAGACCTGAAATGTAATTGGCAGCCAGCGGGTCCTGATAGCGGGGACATGGGTGACTTCCTTTGATAGTGTCCTTGGCACATTTTAAAGTGCTTCCAGCTCTAGAAGAGGGATTGAATTGCTGTGTAAGTGGCTTATAGTACTGTAACATAGGATGCATCCGCAGTGAGCGTCTGTGCCTACTTTTGCAGTTGGAGACTGGGTGGCTGCATTAGCATGGTGCACGGCTTCAGATCCACTCTGACTGCAAATCACCAAATGGACATAGCCTTGGAGAGGCAGCAGACTAAATCCTGCAGCTCTGAAGTATTGATACTGCTGTCTCACCAGCTCCCTGACCTTTCAGGAACAGGACATCCAAACACTGAAATACTCAAACTTGATGTGTGGGCTGTTGGTTAAACCTCTGTTGGGTAGGCGCAGCTGTCTTGGTTTAATTAGGAATTTCCTGCAGATGCTTTTACTGATGGTAATTTTCCACTCCTGCTTTTCATGGCATCTCCAAAATCTGGGTTGCACTTCCAGAGGATATACTGGGGACGAAATTCAGCTTTGCAGTGGAGAAATTGCCTAAGCCTAACCTACATTAAAGCTCTTTGGGCTGCAGAGCCACAGGGCTACTCAGAAATTGGTTCAGGAAATGCTACTGTGAAGTGGGGACAGAAATTTAGACCACTCCAGGAAGCAAAGCAAGCTCAGGTCCTTTCTTAGAGGGTTTTGAGAATGGGGTGGAAAATATACATGGACTGGTGAGAGGAAGGATCTTGATCTCCACGTGTAGGACCTTTTTGTTTAGAAGA